CCCCAAAGCTGTGGAACACCAGGAACCCTTGAAGTCCACTGCACTGCTCAGTCTGCAGCACCAGGGAAGAGACCAGAAGGACCAAGTTACTAGAGTTATTCTAATCTCATGGGAATTAAGCTCAAATACTGTGTTCAACTGTCAAGTTTAAGTCTTTTTTTACTACTGCTTACACACACCTTCCCCTTCTATCAGGTGAGATCCGTTACACACAGCAAATGCAGCTGCTTTGAAATTATCTCCTATTTTTAGCAGGCAGAAAGGCCTGGCCTGAGTGTCGCATATTGGCTCAGATAGAGACTCATGATACTAACAGTCAAGAAGATGAAGTCTGAAGGCCAATAGGAGGTTACACTGAAATCAAGAGTATCTTAGTGTTATCGTAGAGCTTTGAGCATCTACATTTGTGAAACCTTATACTCCAGAGGAAGCCACACAAGGGAAGAGAGGCCTAAGGCAGGAAAGTAGCCAGCAGCCGAGCTGTGACATTGGTTGGGATAAGGTGCTGGATCAGGACTGACACAGAGCAGACACTACACCCATTAGGAGAAAGCCATCTTGCCTAGACAGATCACAGCTGCTTGTTTTCCTGCTTAAATTGAGAGCATCCTTTAGACCCTTGTTTTCCCCTCAAGTCACAATCAGCAAGACACACATCCACATGCATCCCATCATGTTGTTCCAGATCACAGTGGCATGGTTAAGCTGACCAAAAATCTGCTTGCCCTTCCCCTCCATTGCATCCCTTGATGGCCAGGGCAACAGCAACCAGAAGGCTAGTGCAGAAGACCCTCCACAGGGTTATTACCATTTTACGAGCCCTGTCAACAACCGAGTCAATGATCTCCTTCCCGATGGTGTAGTGGCCCCGAGCATAGTTGTTGGCAGCATCTTCTTTGCCACTGATGAGCTGCTCCGGGTGGAAGAGCACTGGAGGAAGTCACAATCTCATGAGTGTCACTGGCACAAGATCCACTGTCTACCAAGTTACTTGCACTAGTTTAGATGCAGTTTCCCATGGAAGCTGGCAGTCTCACCAGCAGTTTAGGTGGCCAATGCCACACTTCAGGTTAGAGAAGGTACTCCCTCACTGTCCCCAAGAGGTTTGGGGATCTTCTATGACTTACCAATGACAGTGGGCTCCAGGTCAACAAATATCGCTCTGGGCACATACTTCCCTGATCCTGTCTCACTGAAGAAGGTCCCAAAGGAAGAGTCTACTTGCCCTGAGGAGGCATTGGAGGAGATGATGCCATCTGGCTCAATCCCATGCTCCAGACAATACAGTTCCCAACATGAGTTGCCCATCTGGACACCAGCCTGGCCAATGTGGACAGAAATACACTCCCTCTGTGTGGGGATGGGAGAGAAGAGGAGGTTATGAACATGCCCTGAAGAATTAGACTAAGGCTGGCACTTCAGGTGTCTTTATAGAGCACATGGCCAACAACCTAGGGTCAAGAGGAGCATTATCCCAGCTTGGTGGCAGCCAGGGCATTTTCTCCATAGCAGGCACCCAAGAGCTGCTGAACGAGAAACAACTAAGCATTAGTCCTTCAGAGAAAGGTTACAATGCCCTAATCTCTGCATCTGCCTTCGTGGGAGGTTGCAGTAAGTCCCTCTGCATCCCAGCACTGTCCTTGCATTGCTCAATAGCTCTCTTCCCAGGAGCAGCCCGCTAAGCCCAGCTGATGAACCCACAGCACAGGATAGCTGTCAAGTCCGACTGCTCATGGCTTCTTCTCTTTGCTCTGCTGATCCTGCCTTGGGGCAGAAGACAGGGCACAGGCAGCCTTCCCAGGTACTTCACCTAGTGCTCTCGCCTGGGGAGGAGGGAACGATTCAGCCCAGCCAGCCTCGGACAGCACTGCAAACACTCCCCCCATGCCCTCCCCTGGGAGGTAGGGGCAAATCTGTCCCCACCCAGATGGGCAGCAGCAGAGGACCTCTACATCTGATGGGAGAAGCCTGTGCTGCTGGGCTCCAAATACTGCCTGTCAGAGCAGTTTCTCCCCTCCATTTAGACTAGATACAACCATGCAGGATCAGCTGGCTGGGGACAGCTAAAGAGGATCCAAGCTAGGATGGGTAGGGACTGATTATTCATCTTCTCCATACAAGACTAGCAGTTGCCCTATGAAGCAACTGCTCTTGGCTCAAGCCGAAGGAAGGAGTCCCTATGCAGCAAGTGTTGTTGAGCTGTTGAACCCCTTGACACAGGGGGCTCTGAAAACCAGGCTTTTGGGTTCAGAGAGACTGGACTAGACACTCTCCCTGAGGCTTACTAGGGGGAAAAAACCCACATCCTATTCAGGAAGCCTTAAGCTACCAGATAGGGAAGTCTCAGGTGGACTTATCCAAGGCTTAGTCTGCTCTCACCACCCGCTTTTAATTGTGGCCTGGGCAGGGCACTGGGACAGAGAGGCAGCACAGCAACTCTCAGATGATCTTCTTGTAAGAAGCCTGGCACAGTAGGTCCCTTACCAAGCACAGAAACAGGGCAGCAACATCCTACACTAGAGCAGAGAGTCCTGCTTTGATGGTTGGTATCTAATGTATCAGCCCTCAGCCACCACTGCATTTCTCTTCCTACTCAAACAGTTCCAGGACAATCTTAACAATCCTCCACACCAGGGCCAGAACAGGCATGCTAAGCCAGTCTTCACAAGCAAAGACCTTCATCCCCTGCCCCAGGTTTGCCTCAGCCCCACAGCAGCACCAGATGGGCACCAAGCTGAGTTGTGGATCAGATGCCACCAGCAAGACCTTCAAAGCATCTTTATGCAAAGGTACAGGCAGGTCTGAAGGCATTTCAGCAGGGTACCTGCTCTTCCTGTCTTGGGGAGGACTAAACACCAGCCTTGCAAGGCCAACCTAGCTCTAGAGATCCCTCTCCCCTTAACGTGAGCACTGCACGTCCAGGAGCCCCTTCTGCAGTGCTCACACACTCCTCCGTAGCCCAAAACTACTTTCTACCCCAAGGGAAGCCCAAAGCAAGGGGCAAGACACCTTCCCCTGGCTGGAAAGAAAAAGCTACCTCCAGCCTCATCCTCCTGCAGAGCTGGGAAGGACCAGCCATGGCTATCAGAGAACAAACCTAAGCCCCACATCTACTCACCATGGCTCTAAACCACCTGGGCTCCTCACCACAATCACAACCACCTCACCAAGAGCACACCCTACCTGCTTCCCTCTTGGGCCTTTTATAGCAGGTAGAGCTGAGCTCTCTGCTAAAGGGCTCCCTCCTCCCACCCGCTCCTCGTGCAGGCACCTGCTGGCAAAGGGTTCAGGTGTTTCTGCTTTGGGGGGGCATAGACATGTGGAGTAATCAAGGTACTTTGGAGGTCTTGCACCTGCAGACCCATGGAGTGTGAAGTTTCTCTGGCTTTTAGATACTCATTCAGCATTGCTTTCCATGAAATCAGAAAAAGAGCTTCAAATGGTTTGTTTTGGGAGGAGTGTCTGGATTAATTAAATTTTTTAATTTTTTTTTTCTAAGAATGAGGCTCATTTTTAAGACTTTCTTTACAATCTCCAGGGCTGGAAAAGTGCTTTCTACTTTCCATCCCCCTTTTTCAAATGCGAAGAGCACATCTGTTGAATCTCCTGGGCATGGACAGGAGTTGCAGGGTGGGGCTCCTGCCGTGGAGTAACGTCATGGGGCTGGGATGGCTTCTGCAGCACCGGTGCCACCAGAAAGCGTGACTCTCCCAGCTCCAGGACAGCGCTGGCTCCTTGAATGCAACTTAGCTTAGTGCCTGAATTTTGCAGTATCCCCCTCCCTGTCCCCAGGCCATCGACAGTGCAGAGACCGGAGCTCTCCCCAGCCTGCCCCATGGAGCTGGGTCCTGCTGCCAGAGGGGAGCGCAGGACCTGTGCGCTGCAGGCACGCTGGTGGGAGATGGGACTTCTCCGTTCCTCAGTGTCCCTTCTCTAAACGAGGGATAACAGCTGTTAAGTGGCAAAAAATCATGAGAGATGCTGATGCTGTTATGTGATGTGGGGATGATGGATGTCCTGGAGGACCTGGAACAGCCATGGAGAGAGGTGACGGTATGTGGCATAAGGCCAGGACTGAGAGACACCAATCCCACTGCAAATGGACAATGGTTTTATTTTCCATGCAGCATACATGAAAGCAAGAAACACACTGACACGGGATATGTGTTTGTGTGTCATGTCCCAGAGGTCAGAAACACAAGTTTAAAAATCTTATCTAGACTTAAAACATGGAGACTGCCTCTATGAGAACTATTAAACCTCATGGTCTGGTCCCCTGGACATGGATGGGTTACCCTCTCTCCCACCACCCTTCTTGGGTTCTGTGGGAGGGTTGGGGTCTTCTAAGAAGGAAAGCAGAAAATGGGGAACAACCTGCAGAAAATGGTCAGGAAGGCAACGGTCCATGAGTCAAAGCAAAACCACGAGAGGGAGCAGAGCAAAGCACCAATCATCAGCCAACGGAGCTGGGGCTGAAGGTGGGGGCAGTTTCTCACCCTCCTCTGAAGATTGGGGTTGGCTTTTGCATCTTAATGTACTCCTGTCCATGTCACGAGTTACGTTGAGGGGGATCCATGCAGAGCTCCTGGGTGGCTGAAGGTGGCTCTGTTCCTGGGAGAGCTGGTCACAGCCCCTGTAGCCCAGCTCAGAGCAGGAGAGGACATCCCAGGAGCAGGACAGGACATCCCAGGGGCAGGGCTGGATGTCCCAGGAGTGGGACAGAACATTCCAAGAGTAGGTCAGGACATCCCAGGAGCAGGGTAGGGCATCCCAGGAGGAGGCTCTCATGACACCAGGGACGGCTCCGTGTAAGCGTATCTGCGGCCTGAAGTGCGTCTCACCCCCCTGCTTAGGACTCAGCTCCTGATGTAACTCTCTGCAAGGCCACCATGTTCCTGTGCTCTCTGTCCTGAGAAGCGTGGGCTAACTCTGCCCGTGGTTGCTGCTGGGAATTGGCTTGGTTTTTCTAGCCAAGACCCCACGGATGTGAACATCATTACCTCCTTGCGTGGTAGGAGTGCATTTTTGGCCAGATGCTCAGCGCTTGTTGAGTTACGCTGCCTGAATCCTTTCCTCAGCCAGGTGGACATGTGTCCTCCTTGATCCCAGGATGGGGTTCAGGAGCTGCCGTCTTTGGGGGTTGCCTAAACCACTGCAGCATCTCTGGTTTGCTCTGATGTGCGTGAAGAAGGCTTTTGAGCATTGGCATGTGGAGGAGGAAGGGGAGGACAAGGGGGTTCCTGGAGGCCAGGGAAGAGCTGGCTGCCTGGGGGAAGGATTATGAAGAGACTGGAAGGGCTTCAGCAGTGGCAGCAGAAGGATATGTTGGCCTGAGTGAGCCTGCAGCGGCTGTGCACCCACGCCTGAGCAAACCACTCTTTTTGAGTGCAATACTGAGAGTTTGGGTTTCGTCCCTGCATGAAATGGCAGAAAAGACCGAGTCCTCACCTGGCTTTTACAAAACTGCTCATATCGCCCCAAACAGCAACGCTGTCCCTCCCAAGCACGGCGGCCTTGGCTTCACCCGCTCCCAGACCCAGGTGGGTGCTGATGGAGATTTCAGTGCTTCTATTTCCATCCAGCTTCCTCAGGAAATCTGGCTGCTCTGACCTCCGCCTGTGTCCCAGCCCCTCCAAGCAACCCCCGGCCTCGCTTGGCAGAGGTTGAGAAGGAGGATTAATTTTGGAAGGGTTTGTCCACGCCCGTGCCGGGTGTGGGGGAGAGTCCCCCGGGGGATGCAGCTGGGAAGGGAGGATCTCTGCTTTCCCCATCCCTCGCGCCGTGAGCTGTCTGTCCCTGCGGTCCCTGTCTCAGCTTTGCACGTGCAACCACAGCCTGGTTCAGTGAGCAGCAAACACTGCTCCCATGGGGTCGTTTCAGTGCTAATTGCCTTCGTTAAAGGGGAGCAGAAGAAAGAGCCAGTGTGCGCCCCAGGGGTGGGATGTTTTGATTTCCATGCCCAGCACAGGAAAAGTTCCCCTTGTCTATCCTGGTGCAGGGCTGGTGCAGAGCCCCATGGCAGCTGGTGTTGGGGGAAAGCCTGTTCCCAGCCTGGACCATTGCTTACTGGAGCTCACTGGGGAGCACAGGGGAAAACCTCTTCAACTTTCCAGTCAAAGCAATGATTTCTCCCTTGGCTCTGAGCAAATCCTTCTGTCGCTTCTTGCTGTGCCAAGGCTCCTCTAGACAGCCCTGTGCATCAGAAAGGCTGAGCCTGGACAACCTGGGGACACCTCTGGCCAAATCCACGAAGGAACAAGAGTGCGCCCAGCTGGGTGCCTGGCCATGTCTGACCTTGCTCTGCCCTGATTTACCTGACCAGATGTGAGCGGGCATGTGTGCCTTAGTTTCCCTGGGTGTAAAATGGGCACAAAATGCCTATATCCTG